ACAGAATGTCTTCTTGCCCCAGACATTACTGATATAGCAGGAATTCCTGAAAATAAGACACCAAATAGAAGCAGATTTTAAAACGTTAAGATTCTTTCTCAAAAAATTAGTGTGCATAGGCAGTGAGTTATCCTCTCCCTACTTCTGGAAGAAAACAAAGAAATATATAGTGATTGCCCGCTCTGGACAATATATTAGATATAAATTAAATCAGAGCATTATCCTAGATATAAATGAAGTCAGAATTAGATATAAGTGAAATTAGAATTAGATGTAAATGAATTAGATATAAATGAAATCAGAATAAGCAATAAAATCTGCTTCATCATTTTAAGCAGAAATGATTGCAGTTTAATGAAGTAAAAATTTAATGATGAAGAAGCAAAACTAAAATATCTTCAATTCAGCCAATAAACCAGAAAAAATAATTTGACTAATGACTTTGAAGAGCTGTATTATAATCAGAACTGTCCTAATCTAAACTTTGCTGCATATGATGACAGATATCCACTTAAAAAGCAGTGGTGTGATAGTTAGGTGATATTTCTCAGAATTTGGAATTTAGCGATCTTAAGTCATTCCCTAGGGAAATTTTATTGATTTGCTTACATGAGTCCAGAAAACACACAAGTCACTACAATTTCACTATTTAAATTTCTCCCCATACCTCTGGCACCTAGAAATCTGATTAGTTTGTTGGCAGGTACCTAAAGATCTAGGGGTTTCCTCAGCTAGATCTGCTTTCTAAGAAATGACTTCAAGTAGGCAATTCTACTTTGGCCATTTGGCATATAGAATATATGTGTCTCCAAATCAACTCATTTCACCCCTTCAAATTCATTGCTTTTGTTGTCTTCACCCTTCCACGTTCTTCTGTTACATATTTTAAGCCCAAGTGAAACACTTCAATATTTCTTCTAATGTTTGTCGATACTGAGGTTCTACTTTAAGACAACTTGTCCAATGCTACAGCTTCTGTAAATACAGTAATGCACCATATTTAAGCTGGTAGCTTATTAAAATAATCAGTTTACAGGCCTTTATCAGGATGCTCTGTCAGTTTTCTTCTGCCTCCTTCATAGCGCTTTAACAATGATGAAAAATTTATAACTACAGCATAGGCTAATAATTTCCTACCAGTTCTCATTGCAATGGAAAGGTTTAAAGCTGCGGGAACCAACTAAAGCTCCCACTAGTAAGCACTGAAAAGAATTAATCAACAAATTAAAAGCACTGATGTGGCAAAAGCTACTAAATCACTAGATTTGCATTCTACCTCTTTGCCATTCAGTGACAGACATGTAACTTGTGCCCAGGGTGTGGTCAACTGGCAATGAGAAAACACAGGTGACCTAACCCAGAAGAATCGCGCCAGCCATAAAGCAAGGCAGACCATTAATTCACAAGTTCCATCTCAAAAGCAGGAGGTGACTTCGGGGTGTGTGCCTAGGTATCATTTACTCAGTGTCCTGCGCTAAACTAACAACAATCCGAGAGATGACGCTTGAGGAAAGGGGAGCAGTGGTCCTTTCATCACAGAGGGACTGATGCAGTAAAAGGTAGGCTGTGTGAGAACACCCACCAAAAAAGATAAATAAGGAGCAAAAACAAAGGGCAGATGTTAGGAAGGAGGAAGACCTCTTACAAGTGGGAGGGAGAGCAAGACATGGGGAAGGGGGAGGGAAAGGAGGGGAAAGGGATGTAAAGAAAAACAACTGAAGGGAAAAATGGAAATAGAAGTTTTGCGAATGGGGAGGGGATAAAGGGTTGGAGGGAGGTGAGGGGAAAGGGAAAAAGAATTGAGATGTGTTATGTACATGTGTACAAACTGCCCATGATGAATGTGATCATTATGTACTGCAAATATGTACTAATTACATTTCTTTTAATTAATAACAGGTAATCTGTGCCTCACCATAAAGACTCTTAATCAACATAGCGACAAGTGACTGGGGAAACATCCTTCCCAGCACTGAGTGATCCCTGGAAGGGTCAGATACTGCTTCTAACAACATCATACAGAATCTATCTGAGGAAGGCACATATCTTCTTTGTAAAAATACAAAGCCTGTGAACACGGACCTTGTTATCTCCATTTGAGTCCAATGCTCATGCTTTGTATCTTGACTTTGAATATGAAAAAAACATTACATACCTGAGATTTCGATTACTGAATGCATTCACTTCAGAGATGCTATTTCCAAGAATATATTTTCATACCAAACTCTGATAACAAAATATCCAAGTAAATCCAAATGTGCTAAGAGCCACAAGTAAAACAGAAATACCACAGACTGGAAGAAAATAGTTGTATTTCTTTTAACATCTCTTACAAAATGGTTTACACTGAGTGAACACAAAATAGGGTGGTTACATATTTTTAAATTAAGTTATTACAGTAAAAATTGTATTACCATTAATCTCCCTCAAAATATAGCCTTGACTTCAGCCACAATTTTCCAATCATTCTTGCCAATTTCTGAAGCAGTTACGGAAGTCCTCTGTCATATGCTTATGAAGTGTGACAAAAGACATAGCACACAGCACTGATTGGGCGACATTCACTGGAAAAGCCAGCTCACATGAACACCACAGTGTGTGCTCACCAAACCATCTCCAAAAATCTACAGGAATCCCAGCCAGATAAGCCACTACCGCTCTAGGCCATTGCATTCTCATCCTAAGAAATCCCACATGATTTCTCAAGCTGGTCCACTGTAACACGAGATTTTTATCAACATCAGATTCCACGTTGAGCAAGCCCATCTGTACAGAACTCCATTTGGGCTTTCCCACATAACCATGGTGATGATGACAACAGAAGGAGGAACAAAATCAGCAGTGACAAGAGTACCCACCCACTGCACATGGCACTGTCCTAGGCATTTCCCTGTGCTACGTCATGGAATCCTAACAGTTCTATATATAGGAACCCTGTGCTGTTGTTATACAAATAGACAGTTAAAGCTTAGAGAAGATGCGTGCTAAAAATGTCATAAGTCTTCACTGACAAAGGTTCTACAATCTGTGGTACAGGATCTCAGGATAAATCCTGAGGGGATGTCACTGACCTTCTCAGACCAAAAAGCTACAACTCTTATTGCACAGGTCCTGCTTTACCTTGGTCTTAACCGTCCAGTAGAAAAGTATGAAGACAAAATATAGGAAGTAAAGCCATGCTGTTATGTTGAACTGTGGGGGACTCAGGTCAATAATTTCTGACATTGCCAGTTAAACAGAAGACCCATTGCTATTATGGTCTACTGGACTCTTTTAGAATATTTTGCTGAGTTTACACACCTATAATATTCAACAACGGAACTTAAAAAAAATTGGGGTATAACTATGAATGTCCATTTTGTATCTGTGTATTCAAAGTGGATGGGATAGATATATAGTTGCATTCTCTTAATGAATAGAATGATTTGTTCTAATGGGGTTTGTAAATAGGATCTCAAGTCCGCATCTTATACAGTAATTAACCACTAAGAAGAATATACGCAGTGTATTATTTGTTGAAACTGTACTTCCGATTTGATTTGAAACTGTCTCATTGCTGTTTATCAATAAAATTTTGAAAAAAAAATTTAAAAAATAAAATAAAATAAAAATAAAAATGTCATAAGTCTTAGTGATGAAACTAAGAGGACATCTCTCTCCTATATCCCATATTCACTTAAAAAAGTAACTGGTAAATATTTTATACAATTATGTTTTGTGACTTGTCCATTACTATTTTTAAAAGCCAAAAAAAAATGACCTATTATTCACATATAGTGAAACTAAGTCACTATCAAATCAAAGTGAGAAAGCCCAGGCCTACAGATGTGTCAATTTATCTGACTACATATGAAACACATTTTTAAAAATAAAAAAAAAAGATTTGATTTGCAACAGTATATAAAGTCAAAGTGACAGACAACTCAGCCAAGCAATCATTCAGAGGATAGTGGACAATGAATTAAAAATGTTGAACTGCCTCTAAAGGTTGAAGGTCATGTTCAGCAAGGTTAAAAGTCTGGACCACCCCTTAGCCACTAAGAAAGGTACTCAGTAAATGTATGGGAAAAATACAACATTTTCTTCTATATTAAGACATAAACATAATTGACAGCTGCAACTTCAGAGCGAAGAATAAACCATTTAGCTACAAAACCGTGACCACCACACAGACTGTGTAATGCATAACACAATTCATTGATAATGTACTACTAGCTGGCCAGCATTTGTCTGTGAGAAGATAGGCTGCGCCCGCTGGACCCCTCCAGACCCAGCCCAGGCCCAGCATGTCAGTGAGACCCTCCACTCCGTTGTCTCTGAAAAGATAGATAGTGCAAAGAAATAGATTAATCTTATTCACAAAAAGTAACCTGACACGTTTACAAGGCCTGGATACACCTACAAGGAAACTAAGCAGGTCAATGCAAAATCCTCAGCCTGGAGCCGGGACTGCGAGTGCCTAGTGAAAGAACTGTGAGTGACAGAAATCAGGGAAGTTCAAGAGAAAGCCAACCAAGCAGAGATGGAGACAAAAGGAACACTCATTTGGTTTGCTAAGTGTCACACCACACACATCAAGCCACCCAGATTAATGGCTCAAACTCTTACCTCAGGGAAATATTAGAAATTGGGAGTTCTTTCCACAGCAATAAAAAGGGGGAAAATACTTGAAAATAATGCAAGCAGGTTTTTAATGGCTCACTCTTAATAACCTGCAGGTTAAAAGCTTCAAATATTCCCTAGGAAAGTATAGAATGTGAAACCTGCCAGGTGCCTTACAGACTATATATGTAATTTTCTTTTTTCTCTTCTCATGCTGTTTCTTTCTGTTCCTTTTCTTCTCCTGCATTCTGTTTACAAGTTAGTCAGATACAACATGTATGGTAGCCCTGTTTATTATCACCCCGGTGGTATCAGACCACAGTAATATTCAAAACTTTCATCATTAAAAAGATTCTCAGGGGCCGGGGAGATGGCTCAGTGGAATAAGCACTTCCCTGGCAAGCGCAAGGGCCTGAGTTCAATCCCCAGTTCTGCCAAAAAAATAAAAAAAAAAAAGATTCTCAATCCTGCCAGCCCCACCCCTGGGACACACTGACACACTGAGACAGCTATTGAGACTGGGCATGGTGGAGTGTGCCTGTAATCCCAGCTTTTGGGAGACTGTAAACAGGTGGATCACTACAAGTCTGATCTAGTAGTGAGACCCTGAACATCCTGTAGACCCTTCCCTAAAAATACAAAAAAAAA